CTGATTCAGTATTTATTTAAATATATAGTGATAAATACCCTGGGATGTACATAGGTGACGTGCATTTTAATATATTGTGGGATTATATACCTATACTTTATTTTATAGCAATAAAATTATTTTAATACTTATAATTTAATAGAACATATATATTCTATTACATTATCTACAACAATTTGACTAAGTAGGCATAATCATTCTGAATTTTAATAATTTGTTTTAAAGGTTCATTATTTTAAATTTCCTGATTGCAATATTAGTGAGAATTAATGTGAAAGAATATTTTGAAGGGCAATTAACTCTTGCTTAAGAAAAAGAGCTTGTACTGTACCGTATACTTAAAAAGTACTAATAAACTCAATCGGATAAAAAAAGAACTTGAAGAATGTGTGTGCGACCCTGTTATAACTAAATCAATTTTGTTCATACCTTCAATACTTTTATAAGTGATAGAAGAGAAAGAGTAAATGATAAGATATAAACAATTTGTAATACAGTGGAAAGATATATGTTTAATACACTGGTCTTTCAACTTTGTCATGAGTTTTACATTTAAGTGAAAAATAGGCTTGATACAATTATTATATGACCCTTATCTGTATATTCAAATTCTCAAGTGGATTTTTTTCCCTTAAAAAACTTTGTGGGCATTAAAAAAAGCATTCTGAATGCAGGTGTAAAATTGTTGTACAGTTTGCAATGTTAAGGGTTTAAAAAATCATAATAGCTTTAAATATCCTACTGGATAGTGGATAAGAAAACATTGTGGTATATGACATGAGCTAATAATCTAAAAGATATTAAACCTAAATCAGTGATTCTTAACATTTGTTTTTATCTTTGTAGTTTCAGTTATACTGGAAATCACTTGCAAAATTTCAAGAAGTATTTTGTAAATTTCAGAAGTTTATGAATTTCAAGCACATATGTTATATCAGCATTTTAGGTAAAACTAATGCATTGCCACCTTGAAATAAGATTGCAGACATCTAGTGGGGAAGAATAATTACCATAATCTAGAATACAACACATATTACATACACATCATTGTATTTATTATATATATTAATATATGTAATTTCTTTTTTATTTTCTTTCTGCAGAATTTTAAAACCATTATTTTTTCTCAAATAAACTTACACCAAGAGGCAATCTTTAGACTAAATTTTATTTTGTGGGAAGGAATTTACTGTAAGAATAGGCTATTACTAAGTAACTGTTTTAGTGAGATATTGTAATATTGTTTCTTTCATGAAAAGAAAAATAGCAACAATATTATTTTTAAATCCACTGCTTCAGTTTTCTTAAACATTTTCTGGGTTTTTATTCTTCAATGCCTCTCATATAAAATTCTTATATATTCTAATAAATATTTATAAAATGACAATGTCATTTCCTTTGTTGGTCTACTTGGGGACTTTTTCAGTAATACTGAATTCAATATTATTTTTTATTTTTGTCATTCTGTAGGTAGAAAAATTGTTGAAATACTGATTGTTTTCATAATTTTTATTTCATATAATCCTTATGATTTTTCATACTTCACAGCACATCTGTGTTTAGCTGTTTACCTCAGAGGTGATCTCCAAATATTGTAATACCGTCCTGAAGACAAATGAACTTTACTCACTTTTCATAGGCAACTACATTGAGAATCATTTCTCAAACAGGGACTGATGGGATTATTAACTCAGTCCACATAGTAAAAAATCCAATAATAAAAAATTAGTACTAATAGAGGAATGATTCTGACAGACACCGACTAGCTTTTTTGGCAAATCAGGCACTTAGGCCTGCTTGTCTGTTAGCAAGTACTGAGTTTGATGGCCACGTGATCTAAGGAGGGCGACACCTATATCATTTACTTAAGAATTCTGTCTTCCTGTTTTATAACTTTTCAAGGAAACTTCTCTGACTACTTGAAAAGAATATTTGTGGGATATCTTAGTTTTGGTATTATAAATCTCTTTTAAAAGACCAATAAATGTGTTTATAAAAGTTTAACTTAGATTAAATGTGAACAAGATTGATAGTTTCATGTATTAATGGATATCTCTTTCAGAAAGGTCATTTCTGAATCAAAATGTCAACATAAACCTAAATCAAAAGAAGAAATAAATACTTAAAAATTAATGGTAATATTCTTATATTATATACTTTATCATTATATATTAAATATAATATTTTAGGTAGTACTCTGCTCTTAAGTAATTATTTTCATCTTCCCATAGATTAAGATGTAGGCTCATATATCAGATAATAGACATGTTACTTTTTTCCTGGTGATTTTTTTACTGTGCATGTATGAATCATATAACATCGTGGTGCATATCCTAAATATATACTATAAAATTTATTTAAAAGTGAAAAAATATGAAGTCCATGAAATGACTCTAACACAGTTGAAAAAGAAGACAATAAAAATGTGGTTCCAATTAATTAAATATCATGTTCTTCCTTTATCCTACTCTGCTTATTCTAAAAGCATATGCTGCAATATGAAGAATTGGGTTTTATTCTACAGTATATAACTATATGATTTTATACTAATATGAAATATAATTTGAAATACTATATATCCTTACCAGATGCTAAGTACTCATGTAGGTGCTTTATGAATTTTAACGTATTCAGCCTTTGTAACAGACTGATGATGTGGTCCTCTATCAGTATTGAGGGGTTTGAGAAACAAAAAGTAAATAACTTGCTGGAAGTCCAACATTCAGTTGGGAGGAGATGTTCTTTTCACACCAGCAGTGCAGTTCTGCAGCCCAATCTCCAAACCATAATGTGAACTATCTATCTGTCTTATGAACTTACTATACTGGTTGTTGAGAAATCTGAAGAAACTCTGATTTTGCTTTCAAAGAAAATGTTAGGATAGAATAATTCTTGTTTAAATATTGCCAATACATTCTTACTCATAACTATGTTTGCTAATAAGACATCTCTCTTTCTTTAGATGGTGCAACTGAGTCTAATTAAATTAAAAACTATTTTCTATAAGATCAAATATTTAATGCAGACTTAAGTAGCATATTTGAGTAATTTATTTTGCCTATACTTACCAAATGAAAACTATTCTTTTTGGGATTAACAAAAGATAACTTTTTGTAGCAATGATTACATTTTGCTAGTTTTAATATATTTGATTGTCAGAGTAGAATATGTATATGCTTTAAAAAGATAAACAATATTTATTGTTCATAGGGAGATTATACCATACTATTGTACATAGGCATAATTCTTGATTTATGAATTTAAATAAAGTAAAATAATTTGAATATATACAATACAATTCACATAAAAGAAAAAAAAAACTATGTTTTAATAATGTTTTGTGTTTCAGTACCACTGAGTGGCACAGGTGGACTCCTTTCACAATTTTCCATTTCTGAATAAATTGAAAGTAGTGTAGAATCTTCACTTATCCCAAAGTCTATTTTGTATTTCCATAGGTCTTCTAATGATAAATCATTTTAAAAACGTCTCTATATATAAAATTTTCCAGAGTGCATCCATTAATTGTCAGAGTTGAATAATTCATATCACTGGGTCGACTCATATATCATGTGAATATCGTCCTTTTAATTTTGCAGTGGATAAGATGGTGAATCTAATGACCAACAGCCCTCATATTATATCACTCTTTTGAATTTTTTTGCAAAATTACTGTAGTATATTTCTCACATCAAAATAGTTAAGAATTAAGTTAAAAATTGTAAGGCAGTAGCTGGAAAAGAAGATAAAATCTCTCAGTGTCTTTAAACAGTGGAAAAATAAGCTAGCTGCCATCTGAATCTGTATATTGTCAATTTTTATTGTATTCTACAAGATTTTGCTGACTGCACTCAAAATTAAAACAGCCTCATTAAGTAGAACCTGTATACTCTGTAGTTTATGTTTTATAAATATTATTACTTTAAATGATTGATGAGGATTGAAAGTCAAATGGAATTTAAATATCTCTACAATCTTTTGTTTAGCATATAGAAACTGTAATAGCAGCTTTTCATAAAGTTATTTACACCATACCATGCTGGTATTACAGCTCATCTTACATTGTTTTGGATGTTTATGATACAATTTACACGGTTTCATAGTTTAAGAACAATCTTCATTTTCTTAGTTTGCATATATATGTATGCATTCTGTAAATATGACTCTTTATTTCATAAATGACACTGCATATCCCTGTCTGTCCAAAGACTTAGAAATTGTTTAATTTTGAATCTGTCTAAAGAATCAGTGAAGCGGTCTGACTCTAAGGCAATAAAAATAAAAACATTTGGGAAAAAATTCTCCCCCTGGTTCATCTATACCCTAACTCACATGCACACATCTGTCTGTCTGTCTCTTCTGGAAAGAGAGAGAGACACACATATAAACACACATGTATTTGTATATTAATATATTCGTCACTCATATATTCATTCCAAGGTTAGATTATGAAAATTAGTCCTGTAGTTATGTGACTAATGTTAATTCACTTGCATAAAATAATCAAATATAACCTATTAAAATGTATAAAAAATGATTAAATACTTAAACATATTATTTCAAATGTGTCCATATTTTATAAAACGCTTAAGCAGAAAAATGAAAAGTAGTTGAAACTTCTGTTTGTTGCTTACTAAGCATAATGTTCTGTTATGCGAATGCCTGTAGTGACTTAGCGACATGTTTTCTGTTAATATGTTTTATTTTATTTTGTTTTATTTTATTTTCTGGTACTGGGGATCGAACTCAGTACCTTGAGCTTGCAAGGTGGGTGTAGTTCCACTGAGCTAAATCCCTGGCCCTAAATATGTTTTAAAAGGGTTCAACATTTTTAAAACTATAGCTCTGAAAACTACAAATCATTTTGCTATGCTTCTTCCTTGCTTTTGCTACCATCTGATTCAGTATGATTGCATCAGACTTGAAAAGTTAGCCACCCCAGCACCCTGATAGTGAGGACCCTTCCAGGGGCTAACTAACTGCCTGTGTGTTTTGTCTAGGTGTTGAGGGAAAGCTAAGAGAATGAAGGCTGTAAATCCGCAGTCGAAGCATGGTGTGGCGGAGCAGAGCTGGTGCTGAACTGTTCTCTCCGATGGCTCTATGGGAGTGGATAGCCCTGAGTCTTCATTGCTGGGTTTTAGCAGTTGCTGCTGTCTCCGATCAGCATGCCACAAGCCCCTTCGACTGGCTCCTCTCTGATAAGGGACCCTTCCATCGCTCACAGGAATACACAGATTTTGTGGACAGAAGCCGGCAGGGATTTAGCACAAGATACAAGATTTACAGGTATGAAGCAAAGGGAAAGCAATTACGGAGATCTCATCCTTGGAGGTTGGGAAGAATTAGTTTCTCTAAGGGAAAGTTTCAGGAGGGTCATTACTGACAATGAACCATAGTAACTTTTTTGCTATTTAAAAACATTTGTAATAGATGTGACATATTATGAGGGAAAATAGATAATAGTGACCATTTGTGTATCAGTCTCAAATTTGAGAATGCTGCCTTGCCTTAAAGTAATGCTAAGGTACTTTGAGGCTGTGTTTCTCATTTAAAACTAGTTGAAATTTTAAAATGATTTTTCTTTAATTGCTTTTCCTTAACAATGCTGCATTACCCTTTTCAGTCTAAATGGAAATAACATCTTCTACTAGCATTGAAAAGTCAACTCACCTCATCCTTTTCTTTCACCTGCAAAGCAATTGTACTTTTAGAAGCTAGAGGAAACAGTAATGGAGTGAATGAAAAAAAAAAAAGTAGACAAATAGCACTTGATAGCAAGAACAAAGCAAAAAAAGGGAATTATGATCTACAACTTCTGTTACTCTTGTATATTTGAAATCTAAGTAAGTTACACTGCTGGGGATTTAGCTCAGTGGTTCGCTGGCCTGCCTTGCAAGCGCAAAGACCTGAGTTCAATCCCGGGTCCCCCCCCCAAAAAAAAAAAGTTAAACACGTTATACAAAAGGAGTCATATATTAAGTCTAGCAAAGGCTACCTGCTTTCTGAAAGCCATGTGAATCCATTAAATAGAAGATTTAACAAGTGGTAACCTGAAGGAATTAGATTGTATTGATCTGTGCCTTATGAACTATTTTATGTAAAAGTATCACGTTGAGTGTTTTTTAGTGGTAAAAGTTTACAATTCCCAGTGACTGCCTTAACATTTAGCTAGAAGCAAATTTTGTTTTTCATTTCTTGGTGTATGTTATCTATGTAGATAATGATATATAAATTTTTTATTTTATGTTGTATGTGCACCAGAGGGCACTGTGCTTCAGATCTGTAGACATCTTTTATACAGCGCTGAGAGGAATTAACAAATCTAATCAGCAATCCCCAATTACAGAAGAGACTGAGTGTATTGAACAACTTCCATGAAGCATCACACCACATGTTTCATTAAGAGTAAACTTCTTAGCCATGAAACCAAATTAGTGTTACATGTCTAAAAAAAAACCCTTAATCTAATTTTGTAATGAAATGAAAAATAATGCACACTTTTAAAATTTTTCAAAAAGAACCAAGGTATTGTGATTTCTGATTCATTTTATTTTTATATATGCTGTTGGTTTAGTCAGTTTTTCATCACAGATTGTGTGAAACTACCTGATATTTAAGATTGTAGGAATGTCTAATCGTTCAGCATTTTGCAAGAGGAATTTTAGCAGTCTGTCAACAAACTGATGTCAGGGTAGGTCTCCATGATGTACTGATGTCTCCATCTGGGTGACTGAGGTGTTGTCTCATGTGTGACTGTTGTGGTTTGGCTTAACGGTCAGCTTTTCCTTAACAAAAACATAGTTGAAACATAGTTGAGTTGAAAACATAGCTTGACATGTTTCTAGAGTTTCTGGGCTGAACAAAAGAGACATTATTTCGATCACAGTTCTAAACACTAGTAAAGAAAAAATGCTTTGAGAATTGCTTACCAGCTCATAAAATCTGCTTGGTCATAATGGGATTCTATTTGGAAGACGTCCATTAACACTGTGCTCCTCAACCTACCTGTCTTTACCTCAGGGACTTAAACAAAATTGCATGAATGTTATGTATATTTGTGATCAATGTGTTACCGTGCTCCTTCCTCGCCCTGATCTGGGTTAGAACTCCTTAGGAAGCCAATTAAAGCTTTCTAATTGCACTATGATCATTGATAATTGCTATAAAATGAATGATACAATCTGTTCATTAGAATTTCTTTAGTCTTGATAATGTGAAGTATTTCATTTGCCCATCTAATTATTTTCTTAAATTTCAGAGAATGCTATCTACCTATTTATACCACTTAGTTGATGTAAATTTTTCCACTGCAAGTTAACTTTATTTTGGAGAGGTATAGGATTTCAGACCCAGATATTGGATTACCTTTTATATTTTGTTCATACTATATTTTGTTCATCTTAAAAATAATTACTAGAGTTTATCTTTTAAAAATTGTTGCCAGGCTGGAGATTTAGCTCAGTGGTTCCGCCACCTGCCTCCTAAGCGCAACGACCTAAATTCGATCTCCGGTACAAGACAAAATAAAACAACAACAACAACAACAACAACAACAATAACAACAAGCCTACATTCTTGCAGGGATTTAGCTCAGCGGTTTGGTGGCCTGCCTTGCAAGCGCAAGGAGCCAAGTTCAATCCCCCGTACAAAAAAAAAAAAAAAAAAAAAAAAAA